CCTTCCTGACGCAACCCTGATTCGAACCCGGGGCGCAGCGGTATTGCATATGGAACAATAATGTTCCAAATTAAATTAAATTTCTGGTGTAAATACAACAGCAAAAACTCCCAGAACAGTCAATCCAAGCTCGACCCCATTGTTCTTATACTGCTATTAGATGATGTACATAAAACAAAAATGAACATAAATCTGTTTTTAGTAAATTATATATATAGGGAAAATTGCCTGTGCAAGCCAAAGATTCCATGACCTTCATATGATTTTGGAGAGTAAACAGAGAGAGTTGGAGAGATGTTATCTCTAAAGCCACCTGGCTGGAGAAGGGTGAAAAATTAACATCTTAGTTCTTAAAGTTGATGTCTGAGTTGGTGTCTGAGAGTGGTTCATTTAAAGATCCATCATCACACCTAGCTGATCCCTATTTACCATCGTCTTAACAGAAGGACTGATCAGGTTTACAAAAACAAGAATGTGAACACTTAATTTCTGGAAATGGTTTATTTCAAATAATTAACTGGTGGTTTTGGGCACCAAGCAGATACTGTAGCCTTATACTTCACATCTCCTGAAACAAGAAGCTAATGGTCATCACTGGTTTATTTTTATGGAAAGGACCCTGCACTCTAAGCCTCAATGATCCTATTATTTGAATGTAAAAACTATTTTACTGTTGTTAGGTAATTTCTTAGTTAGATAGATATGGATTAGAGATCTGTTGTATTAGAAGATGTTTAGTGTAGCCAGGATGTCTCCTCAGGATGTTAAATGCAAGGTTGGTTAAGGCAGAAGGGCTCAAGTCAGGGACAAATGTTATTATGACGGTAAAAGTAACCATAATATTTGTCTTAATGTGTAATGTTATGTCAAATTGTTTTAGATACACACCACGAAAACAACAAGTCACAAATATCAACAAGCTATTTCTAAGCTGATAAAACAAATAGTCATGATCTTTTACATCTTTATTGAACACACCCATTAAACATACAAAGTGATGGAGGAAAGAGCCATGGTAGCACCAGGCTTCTGATATCACTAAATGTCAACTGGAGTCAGGTGCTAGCAAACCTGAAATCTAATCAATGAAATGAGAATGGATGTGTGGTTCAGAACTATTGTAGCCAGGTGGAAATGCACCTGTTAGACTTATGTATGGAAAAAGGGGTGCTACCGCTTTTAGAGAAGTAACCCTGGGAACGAAGAGGATACTGGGTATCGATCCAGTGGATTCTGGGAAACTAAAAA